ACACACACACACACACACACACACACACACACACACACACACACACACACACACACATTTTGGAAGACAGGATTTCCCTGTGTAACAGCACTGGTTGTCCTGGAACTCGCTTTGTAGACCAGACTGGCCTTGAACTCACAGATAACACCCTGTCTCTGCCTCCCGAGTACTGGGATTAAAGGTGTACCAGCTTACTGGTCCTGAAGAAGTTTTGAAAAGTACAAAATCTGTGATTTCTGAGTAAAATTTTGCTTTGAGAAGGTCAAGACAAACAATTTAAGGAAAGTCTACAAGGTGGGTATGTGTAGGGGACACCTGTAGCCAGCCCCGAGGAGGTGTGTTTATGGTGTTATAGGTATGCTATTGCCTTGGTCCCAAGCATGACGCAACAAATGAGATTCAGAATGCCAGAGGGATGTCTTTGGTCTAGGGTGTTCTCGGACACTGGCTCTCTGGAAGGAAAGGGTGTTGTGTGTCCATCGCAGCCATTCCTGTCTCAGGAGGGTCTGGAGTCAGACCCCTTGTCCATTCCAGACAGGAGCTGAGGTGGTCACCAAAAGCCATTCTAGGATTTTACTCCCCACTGGCTTTATCTGCTGCAAACGTCTGCCTAGGAGACAATTTATCCTGGGGCCCTGTTTGGTTTGGGGTTACGCATAACCCCCTTGTAATAGTGCACTTAGTAGTCCTGTTCCTCTGCCAGCATGTGTGCAGCACAGTTCTTTGAACAAACGCAGCTAGCAACCTCAAAGCCCACAGATGTACCAGAAAGCAAACGTTGGGTCCCCCAAAGTCATACTCTTAGTATGCCCTCCTCCCTCTGTGCTGAGTTTTGCATCCAGGTACCAGGAATCACTCGTTGGTACCTAGATCTTACTTATGTCCGCCTTTCTCCAACATCCCTGAGAAGGAAGGTTCCCTCTCTTGGAACAACGGACACTGTCCAGCATCCTGTGTGGTGGCGATGATGTCACAAAGTCAGACCTAAGGAATCACGATTGCAATACGACAAGTAAATGACTATTTCAAACCCTCATATACCAAGTGGTAGGAACTCAGTCTAATCAATAACGGGGAAGCATAGTTGGTTAGGGGTTCCTCAGATGTGTCCCCTTGAGCCGTGGGAGTGGCTGGTATCCTGACACTGGAGCCAGGGAAGCACCTTGAACGCTGCTGCCCAGTCACTTTTCATGGCTCCATGGTAGGTCTGTGCCTGGCGGCTCCCCGTCCTGTGTCCCTCCATCTGGTTATCCTGTGTTGCTCTGATGCTTCTGGGTGGGGCTGAGAGGGATCTGGCTCTCTCAGCCTCCAGTGATTATTTCCTTTCTGAGATTCCTCCTGAGCCTGGTGGCTGGTGCAAGAGTTCTGTGGGGTCGTGGGGAAGCCGGGGTGAGATCCAGCTGTCTCGGGACACCCACAGAAGCTCATCCCTGCAGTGTCCCTCCCTTGTGATGGTTTGAAAGGGAAGCACCCCTCATAGGCTCAGGTTCTTCAACACTGGCTCCCCTTGTTTGGAGAGGTTATGGGCGGTGCAGCCTTGTAAGAGGAAGTATGGGTCACTAGGGGAAGTCTAATGTTTATAGTCTCACCCCACTTCCTGGTTGTTCCCTCTGCTTCCAGCTTGCTTGGGTTTGGGGATGTGAGCTCTCAACTGGGGGCCATGCTTCCCTGCCATGACGAAAACTTTTATTTGTTTATCTATTGTGTCTTTTACATCGCGTATCTCGAGCCCATTCATTTGCCCGTCCCGTCACATCCTCCCTCTGCCCCTGCACCCCCCAAATAAAATTTAAGAGGAAAAGGAAAGAAAAAAACTATGAAACACTTCTTGAATTTGCATGTCACCCTTGGGCAGGGGCCATGCTAATCTTCTCTGTATCCTTCCAATTTTTGTATATGTGCTGCCGAGGCGAGCACCCATGATGAACTCTTATGCCTCTGGAACCATGAGCCCAAATTACGTTGCCTTGGTCATGCTTTTTTCTTTTAAATCACAGTAACAGAAAAGCAAGGACACACCACTCTCTTTTTCTTTGCATAGACAAT